TTTTATATAGGAAGTCGACGTATTATGATGTGGCTTTTTTGAAGAAAAAACTAGGTTTTCTTTTATTATCATTATTGTATATACGGCATAAATAAGAATACGTTTAATCTGTTTGTTAGTATAAGATATATTGTTCGATAGAAATGAATATTAATTATTATTTTAGATAGCGTATACCTAAAATCTGTTTTAGAAAAATTGTATACAAATTACTTGTTTCAGCGTAATTAAAAAAAAAAAAAAATGGTACCGCTTATGTCTACAGTCTACAGTTGTAGATGGTTAGTTTAGAAAGTAAGATTAAAATAAAGTGATGTGATTTATATAAATTAACAAAATGAAAAAACGATTCAGAGCTGCTTAGTACTAGTCGTAGGTGTTTCTTTGTAGCTAAGGTGAACCAGAAGACCAGTAGAAAGTAGATGAACAAAAATAAAAGACAAAGTGATTTGGTGGCGAACTGAAGAAAATTTCGATAAATGGTTTAAATTGAATACTGTTGAGCAGAAATCCCGCAACTTTTGAGGTACTGCGTAAACAAATTGAATAATTTTTTTTCAACCTTAAGTAGTTTTTTCCGAGAAAAAACAAATATAAATCTACCATATACCTTCTTCATCGTTATCCTCGAAGTCTAAAAAAGCATATTTAATATTATAATGATGAACTAAAAAAATTGCCTTTAATTGTCCACAATAATGTATAACAACCCAAGAAAATTTCACTACTACGTTATATCTGTCTAAAAATAAAATTTGAAATTACAAAAAAAAAAAAAATAAATAAATAAATAAAACTTTCCTGCGTTAATAAATCATTAATCGATTTTAAAACGTTGGCTAGCCGCCTGACGGCCGAGTATAATAAATGACACTTGTAAAATACGTTTTCGAAACGGAAATAAAATAAGTTTTCTGTGAAATATTACAACCTACACGTTTCGTGTTTCCATGTATCGTATTTTAATATTTTGAAACGAGTTTAAAATAAAATAGACCGAAAATATTGTATAAAGTCACTTAATTCTAGATATTATGTTAACCGACAGTATTAGTAGAGAACTCGGTAAACTTATAATATTCATAAGGTTCAGTGCCTACGAACTAATTTAAATTTAATATTCTTTAGATACCAGTATTATTATTGTAATCGAGACCGTGACTTTTAGCATTTAAAATCCACTACAAATCGTTGAAAAAATTTCAAAAAAGCAATTAAAAATACGGCTCCAAATAACTCAATACAATATTATATTTTATGTTAGAGAGGGGGCTGATCAGAATGAGAAATGTATTGGTTTTACAATGATGTTCATTAGTGTTACACATATATATATTTTTATTCTGTAAACAAATTTTCTATTAGAAATTTTGCTCTGATTTTCAAGCGAATTCACCTTTTCTGAAAGAAAATTTTTGGGAGGTGGTACTTAAAAGTGGTAATTATTTTATTTTCCCAGGAGTTTTCATAATAAATGGAAAAAATGTAGGAAATATATTATTTTCAAATTGTTTATATTACAGATTTTTATAAGATGTGTAACCTAACTCCGCTCAAAATCATTTTTCGTTAGCAATGGTTAATTGTTGCGTACAGATTTAAATTAAATTTCCCTTCTACTGTCCCAACTTCTAACCTAAAAACAGTGGCTCGCCCATTACGTGAATTATGTTCGTTTATTTTCTTTTTTTGTTGTCTTCTAACATTATAAAAACGCATCCGTATAATAAACGCAAATGGACTTAACGATTTGTATTTAGTATGATGCAGATTTTGAATAAGTTTTTTTCAATGATGAATTTATGTATAATAATAAAAATCATTTGAGTTAAAATAACCAGTTTTTATATTTTTACAAAACGCGAGGGGAACATGTATAGTATATCGCGTTCAATAAATAATTTATAATCTTACATAGAAAGTATCACACGTCGTTTAAAAATAATAATAATATGATTGAAGCAAATTATTTCATGTATCATCGAAGTATGAAGCGATACGCGAAATTTGAAACAAAATATTAAAAATATAAAACCGCGAAAGTTAAGTGTTAATAACGACGTTACAGAAATAATATCAAGCAGTCGTCTCTTATTTCCATTTGCGCATATTGGATTTCAATCGAGTAAACAATAAAACACGCAACGCCGAGTAATCTCCATCAATATTATGAAAAATAAAAAATAATAATAAAACACGTAAGTATAATATTATAATATCGTATACAGAGTGTAGAAAATTTTAAGTTGTAGAAATGTTCTCCTTTACACATACAAAATAGAGAATTATCTATAACGAAATATTTGTATTAAACAGCGTAGTAATATAAAAAATGTGTGTAGGTTTTAAATTTTTAGACACCTATTTTGGAGGAGAGGATTTGGGGTTCAACTTTCGAAATTCAAATGGCAACCTATTTACGAAATTCCATAGATATTTGGAGTTTTTGTAAAAATTAATTTCAACACCATAATGTATATTATACACTCTATATACTCTGTATGTTGTATATCTTAGTATAGTTTGATGTATTATTGCGCTTAAAACGAATATTTATTGTATACGCGCTATAATATTGTGAATTTTTTACGGTATGCAAGAATATTTATATTTTTTTTTATCACTGATGACTAACGATTAAGAACATTTTTAATAAATTCGAGTTTAGTATTTTTCTGATGTCAAAAATTTATTCGGTTTTAATATGAAATCAACATATTACTAGTAATCGATGCAACATCAGCAGTGTGTTATATTAAATATAGATATTATAATATCTAGAATAGTTTTCTGGATGAAGATAAAAGTTTTGAGGTTTGACAGAAAAGAACACGATGGAGAGCTCATAGATAAGAGGATAAATATATAAATTTTCGACTTGTATCTGAAAAAACTGGTTCAGTTAATTAATTGAACTAATGTTCACTTGCTGTGCATTTTTCAGACAAGCTATGTAGGCACCTATATTTTCTTTAATTTAAGCGAGAGCTGCAGCCGACTAATCATAGACCGAAAATCAAAAATATAAAAAGTAGATATAATGTGTTATACATGCAATAAAGGTAAAACTGTAAATTACGTTCGGTGGTTATTCGTGCGGTACAAGTGATACGATAATCTTTGGTTTGTGGTAAAGGAGCACATTCAGTACAATGCCATTTGCATCTAAAACGCGACCTTGCAGCATCATAGCAGTATTGTTATTACAGACCTAGTTGCGTTGATTTCGGCGAGATTATACGTGACATTGTTTTTATTCAATATTATTGTAGGTACGGATTAAAAAAAATATAATATTATATCATTGTACATAATATTGCTAAAAAAAAAAACTAAATAATAATAATAATAACATAACCTAATAGGTATGCGGATGATAATAATAATATTGTAAATATAGGTCACTATCGTATCGCTAACAATGCATTATCGTTATCGTATCCGTTTATAATTATTTACAAGCCTTGACATGAAAATGTACACAGGATGTTTTTTTTTTTTTTTACCAAATACCTGCACCTATTATATATTGATTATTTTAATGCTTATAGGCGTTAATAAGGGTTTTCTATGAGAAAAATCAAAACATTTACACCGTGCAAAAACCGAATTAAAGTTTCTAGAAGTTCCACCGGTGGCGGTCAAATGATTTTTTACGGACGTGGGGAGGGGGGATACGAGGCTGATTTTTTAAATATTTTAGAACACAATTTTTACTTTTTTAAATAAATAAATAGGTTACATAATATATATTGTTATAAATATTGGGTACATTTCATTTTGCTGCGCCGATTGACGGCTCCTGCGTCATATTGTATCCACGCAGTTTTGCTCTCAAAATATTACGCAATAATGCAATAACGTCCTGTTTATTTTAATAATCACGATCAATAGACATTAAAAACCAAAAAGGTGAGGTTGTTCCGTGGGTATTATGATATGCGTAATTAATTATTTGTTACAATATAATAATTTAATTTGTGCCTACCTAAATAATACTTTTGTTGATTTTTCCCCGACAACAGAGATGCTATTATACTGAATAAGTAACCGAGCAACCAATAGAAATTTAATCGATGCATCATTTTATGTTGTAGATTCAAAAAAAAAACTATTTATTAGGAATCTATTAAAAAATCGTTAAAAAAAAGTAGAAATTCGTCATCTTATAATAGGTAGAAACAATCCGAACGTTTTTATACTAATCAAAAAAATCGTGTCCCGAGAGAATCAAAACATATATACACTCGAAATCTAAAAAAACGTTATTTACAACGTTTTAACCAAATATAGTTAAAAAATATTAGAACATTTTGTTATTATTATTATTATTATTTTTGTTATCATCATAAAATAATTAATGTACCTACTTTCGCGTTTAACACATTTTAATATGTTGATAAAATCTTTACGACTTCAGTAGGTACCTTTATAACGACGTATCATTACTTTAATCGTAAACGTAAATTTGATTTTTTTTTTTTTTGCGGTTATCTCATGATTTATACACACTTCATGTGGATAGTGTAATATTTTAATAATTTTAATTTTGGTTCAGTAAAACAAATATAATTTTTATAATGTTACCATATATACTCTCATAATTTTTAAGTTAAATTTTGTATTTGGTTGGTTTTCTTCTTCTTGTCATCCGTGACGAAACGAATGTGGTCTATTCTCAATTTAGTTTAAAATTGAGATGTGGGTTGACGCTCAATATTAAAACGACTAAATATTAATATCCATTTGATCATACTTTATTACTGATATATGAGAATATTCGGATATTGGAAACATAGTCTATGTTCTTTGTACAGAAATTTAAACTCTTTAATATATAAATACAAACACATACTGCAAATATTTAAAACCAAAAGGTATTTTGGTTAGTTACTAATAGAGTAGAGTCATTGCTTATATAAAAAAAATTATGGCATACTTCAACATAACAAGATATATTGTGAATATTAGTGGTTGTTATAATATAGTAGTATAGGTTGTTTTTAAGTAATTTCAGATTCATTTCGCCACTGTCTGGTACCACAACTCTTCAATAGTTCTCTCAACAACCACCACTACTAAAGCCTTTTACTCCTCGTCTCACGGTCACCTTCTCTTGTAAATCAGTACACCTCATGTATCCAGATCTCGTTGTACCTCATTCGACAATCATTTCTTTAAGTGTCTATAGTGTCTCTCCCTAAAGTCGTTATTCAGTCAACCGATGCCTTTATAAGTTCGCCTATTTTAAATCTACAATACTCGTTATCTTATTATTGTAAAAATATCAAGTACCTATCTCTATAATAAAGCTTGCAGATAATTTAAGTTTTGTATATCGCTATTTTCAGAAAAATACGCATCTTGCCTTTTTATAAATTGAAAATAAAATATAGTTTAATACATTAAAGCGTCACGAATATTATAATAAGTCGTTGGTGGTACGTTATTATTTATTACTCGGTTAATGAATAAATGATCGCATTCCGTATGATCCGGTGTTGTTTTGACTTGAATGATTTTAATATTTTCGTATACCAGTGAATGAGTTGTTATACATTATTATTATATTCTATATACTTTTAGTTTCCGAGACAATATTTATAAACCAATCGTGAAGAAATTAAAAAAAAAAAAATATAAAACGTGCGTAAAAACTGTTTACTCGTAATAAACTTTGGGGGAAACATTTTTATTAAGGTTATATAGGGAGATATGAATGACTTTATATAAATATTCATGTATTCGTATGGGTGTACATCCCATGGGTCCAGTAAAACGATTAAAAACAACAAATAACCAGAACGTACTTCACACCATGGGCATACTAATGTTGTATCTATGTATAGTCGGGATGTATGTGGGGCAACAATTTATTTAATTTGAATTATATACAATATGAGCATAACAAAAAAAAAATCTATTCTGAGCGGAGTAATAATTATTTGTGTTTTTCCCTTTGTTCAAGTGTTTCAATAACCTAGAAATCAACGAAAATTAAAAAAAAAAAAAACAAAGAATGTATGTGGGTAAAATCTGTTTAAAAATTTTAATAAATGTACAATTAGGTATAATACCGGTGATAAATTGTGCTTAAAAAAACTCAATTCGGAGCTATAAAAGAAATAAAAATAATTTAGGGTTCGTATGAGACAAATAACAAAACGGTTAAGTAATAATAGATATTATAATACATTATTTCTATTTGAATATTTTGAAATTGATATAATAACTAGCCGATAGTACAGTATTATCGATAATCGTTAAAATTTAGGGTTATTAAAAAATAATTTAGCATTATAATACGGCAGCATTCTGAATTTGATATTACGTAATTTCGCTTCAATAATACGAGTGTCTATAGGTAGGTAGGTAAATATATTATTATGAATCCATCACCCGAGAGATTAAACTTTTTTTTTTTTATGTTTTTATAAACCAATTAAAAATTTTACGTTAGCAATGATAATACATAAAAAAAAAAAAAAAATATAAAAAAATATAAAGCTAACTGTTTTTGTGATGCGAGTTATATTGATGCGAGTACGATTGTACGAATGACATGAAACCACGGAATCTCATCGAATAACGGAAGAGGAAAATAACCAACAAATATATGTTAACGACAATATTAGTACCTACCTACGAAACAAAGTGTTTCAGAAATAAATGACCAAATCTACAGGATAATACACACTATATTATATAGCTCTCAAAATTGGTTTTTTTTTAAATTTTTAGCATGTGAATAGTATCCAAAACCATAATTTTGGTAGACAGTAGTGATACATGAATTTGTGTGTACATTTTTTGGGGACTTTCATTGAATTAATTTTTTTTTAATTCATCAGAAAAATACAGTTTTTTGATAGTAAAATGTCAAGTGAATGTAATTAAATCGAATTAACACAGACAATTTTGCAAGATATCTTATGGTATGGTTTATTTTACAAAATAAAACCCAAAGTTTTTACATTATAAAAACAATTCCATAAACTCAATTCTGAAAGACATCTGAGTGTCGTACCGTAGAGATGATAATTTGTTTTCGAAACATACTGTATACTTTTGAAGTATGGTAGTGAATAAATACGATGAACTTTAATGATTCGGGTCTAAAAGTATATGAATATTGAATTCGATCTACTAAATAGTTAAATAATTTTTGTCTACTTGGTTTACTAATGTTGGGTTGCATAAACACATTTGCTAAACGTTTAATGAACCATTAGAGCTATTATGAATCATTGAGTCATGAAACGTTGTTAAAATTGGGGTCCATTAATTTGGAGCTAATCAGTTCACCGAATTAGAGGTCCGAATTCGACAAATTAAAAATTAAAACATTATAATTAATTCATAGCCACGGAAGGTACTAAATACTCGAAAAGGTTGTATCACGAAATTACATTTCCCCTAATAATATGATTTAGTATGATTTTGGAATGTTTTATATTATTTTGAATTATTTGTAAATAAAATTAAAGTTATCATGCTGTTATGTCAATTTTTTAGATTATGAACAAATCTGAAATGTTTTGGGTTAATTATAATTTTTTTTTTTTTATATATCTATAAATTACTTTTCTACTAAAAAACTTGTTCCCACCAAAATATCCTTATAGCATTTTGATTTAGTTAACATCATTTTTTTTTTTTTTTTTTTTTAATACATAAGAACTATTGGTATTTGTTTATTTCTGGATTACTTTGTCAACAAATCAAAAAATACTTCTGATAATAATCTACTTAGAATCTATTTGTTAGTTATGGTTTATCGTTTAACATATTAAATAAATTAAATTCGTCTAAGTATATGATTTGTTAAATACAAAATGTATACATTTTGTAAAATTTTTCAAAAATACAAAATTACTAATAATTTTAATTTCTGTAAAAAATCAATAATATAAAAGACATCATCTATAACTCATATATCTACAATTCAAGTTACTACAGTTTATTCATTGAATTTTATAAAACTTTAGATGCTTAAGGAGTTTTTTTTGTCTTTCTCTGTGTTTATTTATATTTATATATCCTCCATTCTATCTTCATATAATGTTTTTTTAGAAGAAAACGCAATAAATGGATGGGTTATGTCAAGGATTTGATGTGCCTCAGCGTATGTTTATTCAATATTTTTTATTATACAATTCAATCGAGTGATGAAAATTCGCTAAAGATATTCATCCTCATTCACCATCAACGGTTCCTTTTTGCTACACTTTTAATTAAAAATGTTTTTCGTTATTGCTCCTTATTGTCTCAAAAACACAAATATCTTTGACATTTACGTTTCAATAAACTTAGTATACTTTTAACGAATTCTGAAGATTCTCTATGAATCCGCGGAGTTTTCAAAAATAAGTTTTATCGTATTTTGTACATAAAATTAGATAATCCTTATGACGTAATAATAAAGATAATAATATATAATTAAAATAAAATCATTCACTAATTTCACTGCCGCATGTTTTACATATTTTAAATGAATTTGGACGAAAAAATAATTTTTATCTTTCTTTTTTTTTGGAAGTGGGGGGGTAGGATACATAGTATCTGTAAGAAATGAAAAATAGTGGTTAACGAAATACAATTCTGAGCAAATTTTGGTATAGCATATTTTGAAAGGCTAAGATTTTTAAGATTTTTGTCAAAGTTTAAACTTAAAAAATCGTACAAAAAAAACTACTAATTTAACCTTAACTTTTTTTTTCATCGTGAAGTACAACTTATGACGAAATTCATGTACAATTTTCAACCATTAAAAAATGATCTCTTATTAATGCACCAATAAGATCCAAAACGCCAACAAGGTCTTACGTCGGTTTTTTATTTGAATTAGATTTATAGTATAACATTTGGTTATACTTACACACACACACATAAAAAAAAAAACAAATCATAGTACAACTAACAATTTATAAAATTTAGGTATTTAAGTAAAAACCTTAAGTGCATAATTTAAAAATAAAAAAAATTGACGAGGAATTTAAAAGACAGGTTTCAAATTGATCATTGTGCTCAGCAATCGCACAAAATGCGAAAAAAAATCTTATAATTTAATTGTATAATTATGTTTTGTTAAATAACTTGGATGTAAAACTTAGAACAATGTAATATTATTCTACGGATTTTAAAAATTGTAAAAAAAAAAACTCGAAAATGGCTAAAAATGACATAGGTAACATAGGTATCATAGTTAATAAAGAACTGATAGAAACACTGTTCTATCGTCTCTCTCTGGCTGAGGATTTTTTGAGGTTATTTCCAAACCATGCCAGAACATTTAGATTTTGATCACGAGTTATAATTTCGAAATAACTAAGCAAATTCGAAGTTTTGTGTTACAATAAATTGAGTAAATCTTTCTCGTAATGTTTTAAAAAAATAAAAATACATTTAGTTTGAAAAAATAATATTAAATATCCGAACATATAACCTCAAAATAATCTCTGCCATAGAGATTCATCTCGCTTCCCCGTTCCGGAACGCCACCAAGTACATACGTTCCATGTTTGGGAGTGGCCACTTCGTGCTTTATTATCTATAACACGCCCTTTCTCATTAAAAACCCTATCGATTTATGTTTTTTAATACAAGTATATTGCATATTATATTGTTTGCATAATGCGAGAAACATGAAATATATAATAGAGTAATATAACTGTATATATAATATATTATATTATATATATATTTTAAAATCGTCTAACCAAAAAAAAAAAAATTATGTATTCGCGTGGGATCATATTTTTCCGAGGTATTTATTTGTGGGGATTGACGTCCCGGTGATATTATTATTATCGTCATCATCATTTTTTTTCGTCGATAGTAAATTTATTTAGCTCGTCAGATTAAATATGCGCGTATTATATAATATTATATTGAAAAATATGATATTGTCGATCGAAACCGCGACACCGAATAATTGACAATCGTTTGGATATGTCGGGTATACATAAAAAAAAAAAAATTGTATAAATATATTACACATCAATCTTTCGATATGTTTCGTTTAGGGATTTAGATAACAAAGCACACACATCCACACACACACATACACACACATACAATGAAATACATGCAATAAATCTTCGGGAACGTTACGCATGATAATAATAATAATAATAATAATAATCGCGATATTATAATATGATAAGAATAACCGAAAAACGCAAAGAGGATACGACTTAATATGAAATATTATAATAATATATGAAAAATAAAAATATATATTCCGTGAAGCGCAAAAATTGCATTAGCATTCAGTTAACTTGACAAGTCGAAGCTTGGGCAATATTTTCGTCGCGTATAAAACGATATAAACATAGTCTCAACTTGAAAGAACGGAAACGTATAAATATATTTTTTTTGATATTCGACCATGTCTAGAAATTATTGTAAACACATTTTATTGAGGAAATTTCGGATTCGTTCGGAAAAACAAAATTAATATTGTCGTAAGTCATGTGGCATCACGGCGAGGATAATCTCTTTTAACTGGCAGGTTTTCAATCGGGTGTTCACCATTATTAAGAAAAACTTCAAAGAAGTTTTTATTTTGTTTTTAAAGTGGACTTCTCATCGTAACAAAACGTTCAAAGAAAGCTGCCGTGATGTTTCTGATGGGTGCGACTTTATGGGCCAAAATCAACATGTTAATGGACAAAAGCAGTGGTGTAGGCAGGGCGGGAAAGGAACACAAGAACCATTTCATTTTTTGGCGTTTTTTGAATATTTTTATTAGAATCTTTTCTGGTTGTTTAATGTTTACGTTAATTTATAGTGTATTTTCAATGTTTATTGATTAAGTAAATAGAATATTTTTAAGTGAGATAAGAAAATAAACGTCAGTAGTCAATAACAAGCAATTTTGAGTGTGGTTTTTCGTCCCTCCCCTTCCCCTCTTTTTCCAGTTATAAAATTATTATGACGTTACTGGACAGAAACGAAAAACCAAAAGACCCACGATAAAATTATCCATAGTTTTGGCTGTATTGAGTTGAAAAAGTTCGAGTTCGACAGTAAAATATTTACTTGTATACTTTTTGAGGATATAGTCAGAAACACCTTTAACGACACCTAACCTAACCGGTTACCTTTTGGCCCTCCTCGGTTTGGGTGGCAGCCGTATCCGGTAGAGTCGCGTATGCGTTTTACTACTGGACCGGCGTCTGGTGTACGCCAATGGCGGCAGTGGCATATCCTCGGGCATAGACGACAGAACGGTGGCCGCCATGAACTCCTCGTCCGGCGGCTGCGGCGGCGGCAGCGGTTGAAGCGACAACGACGTTCCGGGCATAGCGGCGATGGTGTCCTGTTGGCGCGGTTGGTGTTGCCGGTCGTCGGTCGACGCGGCCCCGGAAGTGGAGGCCGCGGCCGCTATCACCGCGGCCACCGGTACGGCCGCGGCTGCAGTCACGGCCGCCGCGGTCTTTTCCCGGTCCATCCAGTGGTCAGTGGCGGTAGCGGTGGCGGTGGCGGCGTCAGTTGCGGCCACAGTGGTCGCCCCGTCGCGGTAATTACCGCCCACCGCTTCCTGTAACCACTCGCTCACCCGTTTCCGGTAAAGTGTTATAGAGGCCAACATCTCGTGGCCCCGTCAACGTCATCGCGGTATGCGCATCACCACGGCGGACCGGAGCAGCAGCGGTAACGAAGCTGATGGCTCCGACACGACGCCGTCGTCATAATTTAAATTCTCTTAGCTTCAAAAAAAAAAAAAACAAACAACTGTTTTCCAAAGGGTGTACGAAAGTCTCGGTTGCCGCATTATTGTATTGTATATTCGTCCGTAATTGAAAAACCACGTCACCAGAGTTTAATAATAGTTTAAAAAAAAGAAAAAACAATTTTTTATTTTATATACTATTAAGCTGTATAGTCAAGAAAATATTAAATAGTCGACTATGCGGAGTAAAGCTAATATTTTTGAATTACCGGGTCATTTAAAAATAAAACGTGGACACTGCGATGTGAGTGAGTGGGCGAGAACCGACGGTAGTTGTCTACTAGTCTAATCAAATTCGAAGAGTAAGACGAATTTCCATAAGAGAAAAAAAACATCGCAGCAGATGTACTAACTTAAAACGTTTTAGTAAGATTACTATATTATACATATAACACATTATACATACATTATTATGAACTCGAAACACGATAACTTTCACGTCGGTAAAGGTATCGATTCGGCTGATACCGTCTAACGATACAAAAAGTTCACCGCCCCACACATCGTTGTCGTCAACCGTTGCGGCGGTCGACCTTTCGTCATTTAATATGCGTTTATAATTTCTTCCTTCCCACCCCTTCCTCCCACCAACACATTTTCGACTCATTTTGTGATATTATGTTCATTCAACACTTTCGTATAGAATTCGATTTGTATACCTAATATATAAATAGACCGATAATAATAAAAGTAAGCCTATAGGATCAAATCAAATCGGAAATAAAAACAAAGCGTTTACAACAACCGGTTTATAAAATCGAATTCGCATATTATTATACGATACACTTAAGTAATATAAGTGCCGTGAATTTTAATACAATTAAATGTAAACCTCGACGTGCCTCTCGTTAAAAAATAAACATGGGTACTAAAATTGAAAAATCGCTAATTTAATGTCTAAGAACGACTCTAATCCAATCTAATATAACAACATAACTGTAAGAAATTATTGTAAAACATTTGGTCGTTAATTCTATCATCGAATACAAGATATTATTTTACACTTCATTATCTATCATCCAAACAATTTGTGTTCGCAATATCATATTGGTGGGCACTTCTGACGGATTTTGATTTTGTAAATTTTACATATTCATTTTGCGCAGTGCCATAAGTTTTTAAATATTATTAAAAAAATAAAAAACAACACATTGTTTCCCCCGCGGATTACAATAATCGTATACAAAACTTACGTAATTTCAAACAAAATGTTTTAAACTCCGCGTTCTGAAAAAAAAAAACGATCAGCGTTAACTGATTAAAACACGCACTGCCGGTCGGCGTATAATTTCGACATTATGGTTATTTATTTATTTTTTTTTTTACGTTGTTTTTATGAATATTATTGTTGTTATTTTTTTTACATTTAATAATACAGGAATAAACTATAAAGAAATTACTGCAGTTTCGCAAAGTGGATGACGACATATTATTATAATGTATTACCAGCTGCAGTGTAGTTAAATATTTAATGGTATTTATCAGTTTTCCGTGTTGTGCTTGCGCTTAAAGAAAAAAATAAATAACCTATAAAGTCGAAGCAAAAAAACAATTTGTGAGACGAAAGCATAATATATAACGTTCTTTGTATGCACCGTTTCGTCGACGATAGTAAATCATTATAATAATATTATTTTGCATTCGTCATTTTGCCAAAAACAGCGCTATTGTTCACTCGGATGAGTCGTAATTTTCAATCTTTTTATTTTTATCAGAAGTTTTTTTTTTTTCCCCCATTGAACCCGATCAAATGCGAAAAGTTTTAACAATTTTTCGGTTTTTTTCTTATTATTATTATTATTTTTTTTGGTTTATTCTGATACACAGCGTCATAATCTGAATTTTACTAAGTATAAGGTTATTGTCAAAATTATATGGTCATTCGCCAATATTATTATATTTATATAGGATGATTTAGTGCGTATCCCAGTAAATAACACTACACGCTATCTAAATTTATATTATCAAATCCGATTATCAAGAATAATTTCTGTGTTCTAGTATATTATTGTAAATCGTAATAAATATTTTAGAATTGTAGGTACCTATAATGTGATTATGCTTGGTGAGATTATTAAGGTCAGACGTACTGTGTAGATTTAATATCAGTGTTTCAATACATAATGTATTCATAGAACCCAATTACTCATTAGAGAATTAATGTATTCGAGAATGCAATTCCATTTATTTATATGGTACGGTGAATTCTATATTTAAGTCAAAATGTTAATGTTAATATCGTAAAGTTTCAAAATTTGTAGTGAAATACGTGTGACTTTTATTATTATTTTTTTTTTTTTATAATTTATTAAAAATATATACCTATGTATAAATCTGTAGTTTTTTTTTTGTTTTTATTCATAATACTATTTAAAGCAAATTTTTCATTTCTGGACGCCTCTAGGAACGCATTCCAAATGTTGAACGCAGAATGCATTGATCACGCAAAAAAGAAATTGTGAATGTATTATTTTGTTCAGCGTAAGAATGTGAATGAGATGCGTTCATTTTCCCATAGAAATTTTCAAACTCTGTATAATATTTAGTATACATAACAAAATATATGTTTATCATGGAAAGTTTGGACACGGTTTATTCGTTTTGAAGTTCCTTCAGGATAACACGATGTGGTATACAATTAAATTATTATGAAAGGTTTAAATTTAATATTTCATTAACGAACGATTCGTGGTTTTACGAGCATTGCTCGGGGCCTCGTGGTGAGTATTTATAATAAACTTTGTTCACAAACAATAACTAAAAATAAGTCCATAATGGCGTTAGATATAATATTTTAAAATATAGGAGAATATTTTCGTGAAAAAAACGTTTAGTGTTGAAATATGTCGGTATAAAAATGTGTGTACTTATAAATAAATACAAGAAAATATGTTTTATTATTTATTTTTCAGACAAATATTAAAATATCATTTTATTTGGTGCGGAAAAGGAGCTTTCTGAAAGCTAAAAAAAAACCGAATATAAAGATATGAAGTGTATACATTTTGACAATAGACCGTGAAATGAAATTCACATTTTTCCAATCCTTAAATAGACTTTTTCTGCTTTTTTTTTCTGGTAACAAACAATAATTTTCGACCAGAGGTCTTACTCCTATTAAAAACATAATCGGGAAGTATTTTTTTTTTTTTAAATTTTAAATTTCGATAATACTAGTGAAAATCATAATAATTTGTAAATTATTTTTTAGCCAAAAAATATTAAATTATTCATTTTAAATTTAGCAAAGAACTATCTAAATACCTCTCATTATAGACTTTCGTTTGCAATTACTGTATATCACATTCAGGATTCTGGCTAAGCACTATAGTTCTTTTACTATCTATTTATTAATTTTTCACAATTACTTATCCTTCTTGTTATTCTTTTTTATGGTATGGATACACGTTTTGGCTGTTATTAAAATATCATGCCCACCTCTCTTTGTCTTGTACCTTTTCCATCCGATTTTATTATTATAACCAGTTCATGTACACTATCGTTTTTCGGCCTTTAACGTGACCATTTCCCCGAGTCTATCATTCGAAGACTGGTAATATTGTGGTTCGTTTTCTTTTCGGAAAAATATGGCTTAACCACTGAAAACTATAGTTCTCAATAAAGGCAATTACCGGTCCTATAATTAGTAACTATTAGTCTCTGTAGATTTATAGGCTTTTTATTTCATCATCTTCCTTTACCTGCACTATATTATGCATCAAATATGTTTTTCGTTTTGTTTAATAATTATCGATAACTAGAGAAAAAACGATAAATTATCGATAATTATTAATATTTCCGTAACTATAAAGAGGGAAAAAATAAGTAGTTATTTTAAAAAAAAAAAAAAAAGTCTATGCGTTTAATCCTACACCTGCAGCAATGTCGGGTACAAATTCAATTTGTTTTGCATCGTTAAAATAACAACCCCGTGGTCGTGATACGCGGGTGAATGTAAATTCATTATACTATTATTATAGCACGGAAAAACACTGAGAACATCATCTAAAGACGCAGGGTACAGCCCTACCCGCTGTGCTCGACGGCGGAGTATATATACGAACGGAATTAAACAAATCGACAATAATTTTCGTGATATTTTCCACTCTCAGCGGGTAGGCTTTCTTTATTTATTTAGGTAATATGTTTTTCCCACGGTATCGCGTGTATTGTGTTCGTACTAATCAGTATGGATTAAATGATGGCAAAGGATGAGGAAGGGGGATAGTTAAGTGAAAAAGCGCAAAAAGAACCCCATCTTCCATCTCCTCCGCCTACCACTATAATGCCATTTCTAACCGTATTAGTGGCATTTCCATCGCCGGTGCAACATATTATTATTATATTTTTTTGCACAATCTTCAAATACGTTTCGTGTCCGTTCCACGAGCCTTTTGTTCAACTATTTCTACTCCGCGCGGTTTCCGTTATCTTTCTCACAAAACGTTCATTGTTCGAAACGATGGACAGCACCTAACCTTATACAGGTATAAGTAGGTGTACGTAAGAAAAATCGGACGGATTTGAAAGCCAATTCATTTATCATATTTAATGGATATAAATATAGAGTCGTGAATTGGTTCATCGATTTTATCATATACATACGAGTTATTACAAGCTATCCGTTTACAAAATCAAATTGATGATAACCCGGTTTAATCGCATTGACATCATTTTGAAATATAATATTTTTATGATTTTCGTCTGAACATAAAACCTTTTTTTTTTTTATTGGAAATTGAATCTTATAAAACCAAATAAAATTAAAACTTCAATAATTTCAAATGGTTATTTATGGCTCACGATTTTCTGGAATTTTTCGAAAATTTTACCATAAATTGAAAGAGGTATGAAAGAGTGTTTACAATTATTTTGATATCCGGATTAGAAAAAAATAATGAAGTCGGAATTAATGAAACCATTTGTAGACTTTCTCGTTTTTCCTACGCATTATCCCGGGTTTCACAATTATGAAAATTATAAGCAAATCGAAAATAATCTTTTCAATGCACATAAAAGACAAAATTTGCTACTAGAAACCATCGCCAAAATTATGAATCAATGCGAGATTTCAGCAATAAAAGTTGTTAACTGACAGAAAAAAAAACACATAATAGTAAAATCTAAAATTTCAGTGCAATGTTTTGATATTAAATAAACTAGTTGTTTTTTTTTTCTTTATACCAAAATCTGTTCGAAGTCACCCCGTTTAGGAGGTACAATACGAGGATTGTCCCAAAAGTAATGCACAATTTGCTCTGAATAAATAAGTTTTTATTTTAAACTAAATACAATATTATAGACCTTCGATATAATCTCCCTGCTTGTCTATACACGATTGCCATCGTTTCGGGAGCGCTTGAATGCCACATAGGACGCCATCTTTGTTGAGTTCACGGATCCTTCGGCTCACTTCTTCATTTAGTATATCTAAGTTGGGAAAACGGATCCCTCTAAGTGGTTCCTTCAGTTTTTGAAATAAATCAAAGTCCGGGGAACTTAATTCCGGCGAATACGGTGGGTGTTTGAGGCGTTCCCATCCATATTTCTCCAAAAGAGCGACGACTGGTGCTCCAAAATGCGGCCGCGCATTATCGTGCAATATGGACACACCATTTTGTAACATTCCTGGTCGTTTTTTACGGATTTCCGGTCGCAATTTTTAAATACCTGTTTCATTCTCTATCTCTCTCACTGTTATTCGTCGGTCTTCATGGAATAGAGTTGCGAGAATAGCCGCGTTAGTGTTGTCTTGAGTAACCGTAGAGGGTCGGCCAAAGCGAGGGTTGTTATCAATACTTATAAGACCATCACGGAATCGCTGATGCCATCTTTGCACCGTACTACGATCCACAGTATCCGTTCCACACACTTCATTTAACGCGGCATGAATTTCAGGCACTGTTTTACTACGAATCGTTTCGATTTTAATGTATGCGCGTTGCTCAAAAACAGAAATGTGAGCCGACGAATTGTTATCACTTTCGTTATCACTCTCACACATCATCATACTTTACTAAAATAACTAAAACTGAAAACACACGTGTTCGTTAGACTTCAAGCTACAAACTGATACTAAAATCAGCTGATAATATCACATTGCAAGACAGCTAGAGCGCGCTGTGCATTACTTTTGGGACAACTCTCGTATATAATAAGAATACATTTAGCGAATTTCTATCGATAGGTATAACATTATCATGAGAGTTAAGTCACCTAAAATTATTTGAGCAATACAAATTTTGTTTCGGATACACACCACTGCATATTATTATATAATATTGATTTGATTCGGTATAGATTTAAATTGTCAACGAAAATTTCGTTGTTAATCCCCCGTATTTTCGAATTCGCTCCGAGTACTGCGCGTTTGACTACTGCAGGCAGCTTTGTAATTATACCACAGTTATTGTGGACGGTGGATAAGTGTACGTTCAAAGTCAAATTCATAAACAATGACGACAAGCTCGGGTATAATATGATATTATAATATACGAGTAGTATTATTATCGTTTGAAACGCGTTCACAAACAGCCCAGTCTTTCACGTTGAGATTCTGTTTGTGAATCTATTGCTATTTTAGCATCACGAGAAATGATAAACACTATATACACACACACACACACGTATATATACATATATATACATAGTTTATTATATATCTTCCCTTATACATATATGTATATTATGAAACGAAACCTGCAGTGAGTATTTGTTCAAAACGAACGAGTTATCATAATAATATACGTACATAAATATAATAATATAATGTTGTAACGCCGAAGAATAATCGTTTGTAATAAATTTCAACGCTTACCTATGTATAATATACTCGGTTAAATAATGTGTCTCTTTGAATTGTATTATAAAATGTTTCGTATACCTACCCGCCTTACTTACGACTATCTAAATATGTACACATATCATTGTGTATCATCGTGTAAGCGTTATCATTTGTATGTTGGGGATTTTTTTTCGACCAATTATTATCGCGTTGAAAGTTTAAAAATCGTGTATGTTTGTTCTTGAAGGTTTTTTTCCGCGTAAAAACTGCTGTTTTTCCCTTCGTAGACCTTTAACCGAAATCGGTAAACGAGATGCTGTTTTAATAAGAATTTAAAGTCGATTCCGTTTCTGGCAAATCTTTAATTCATCATGATTGCAAACAACTGTGTTTGTACACGGTTTTCTGGCTGGATTCACGTCACGACAGTAAGAAAATGTATTGAAAATCCGTCGTCATAAATAAATCTCTTTGTATGTATGCTGCTATAAGTTTGTTTTTAAAACGTAAAATATTTGACACGTGTGTCAACGGAATTTCGATATTAATTCAGTATCATAAGAATAATTATGATGAACTTGCCAAGCGTTTTTAAGAAACTAATCAAATTTTATCTACATAAAACATTTTAAACAGCTGAAAATAATTTGATAATTGACAGATTGCATAGAACATTGCACCGATTTTAGAAAGGGCGAATTTTAACTACCTGGTAAAAATTAAAAATCTTTAGATTTTTTTAACCGAATTAAAACAAAAACACATAATAACAAAAAAATGTAATTGCATGCGATTCTTTGCTATTTTCTTCCATTGAGAAAACTAAAAATCAAAAATTGACTTTATCTGCGCTATTATTAGACAAAAATTACCAAAAAAAAATCCATTTTATTTTTTGACCATGATATTTTGGAAACAGACACATCAACGAAAAAACACACAGAAGGCAGTCACTTTTTACGGCCATCTTAAAAATTAATTTTTTATTTAATCTCTCTACGTTTATTGAATAATTTTCAAAACTAAACCATAGATTCGTTTCAAGTTTACCAATACTTGGTACATGTTTTTAAATGTTAAGTACATTATGGAATAAAAAATTTGTATTAATGTTGGAAAATCGTACTTTCTCGTTCTACGGATTTTATAATGTATTATATCTAGATTTTTGTAACAGTTGACAGTACCCAGTAAATGAACTAACGTAGATGAATACTACAATAATCATATGGTTCAAAAAAATTACAGAATTCCACCATTTATAAATAAAATAATTATGAGTGGCCATAGGACACGTATAGTAGAGTTTCCACAACTCTACACTAAGTAAAAAAGTACATTGCAGAATGGCCAGGTGACACAAATATAATATGCACACTGATAAACAAGTACGACTAGGTGTACGTTATTTCTACGCTGTATTATATTATCGTCGCGATGTAAAATTTGGAAAATGCCATTTAATACCCTGTCCTTAATGCAAAAACACTCGGCCGCCATAATATAATACGTAAAAGTGACTGTGGTATTTTAGTATTTCGTTTTAAAATAATTAATATTACACGGACGAGAAGAGCCGAAAAACTTGACAAATATTAAGTATGAAACGTCACTACTATAATATGGGTTCGTGTTTCACTCGGATATGACACCGGCCGCCCCGAAATCGGTTCTGACGTTAAAACACCAGAGTGTTCGTAGCGAACAAACAGTAAACGCCATCCGTATTATTATTATTTCGCCCGAGTATATTATAGAACAATAAGTTGACAAAACGTTTTTTTACGCGAAATAATCGTTATTTTATTAATAATAATGTAAATTCGGTTTCCTTACGCCGAATTATTAATTATTGTACGCGAAGCGGTTAATTAATAATAATAATTAATAAACGTCTCTTGAGGAAATATTTGTACGCAGAAAAATCGTTAATAATTAATAATTATATAATATAACATTGTTAGTTAATAATAATAATAATAAAAAAATAAAAAATCGTTTTCCTTAAAATTCAACAGCTGAAAAATACTATAAATTAATTTTTTTTTTCTTTACATAAACCGTGTACCTGAAATTTCATAACGCATACAAATATTATAATATAACATAAACGAATTCTGTAGTTGAAAAAAAAAATCATAATTTTATCTCGTCGCAACTTTAAAAAATATTCGATAAAATATGGTGTTAATTCGAATAGAATAAAAAACAATAATAATTTAATTTTTATTGCCGTTGCGGTATTATTTAATACCCTTGGTCCCGAAGTATAAAGGCTCAAGTCAATTTTACAAAAAAAAAGTTTAAAAAATTACGGAATTTATTGAATCACAAAAATATTATGGAAAATTAGGGGATGTTATGGGAGAATTGTATAAGATAAAATTCTGAAAAATGTTAACAATTAGCTCTTTTAAGTTTAACCGAAATTTGAAAACCTCAAATATATTAACACTTAGAATAATATTGTTACCTCGAGGCCGATCATTAAATCGTACATCTATCAAACTAGTATGTTACGTTCATTTTTTAGAATAATATGTAGCGAGTATATTACCGATACTACCGACACATGTTTTATTAGTTGACTATCTTTGGACATCCAAACGTTCCCAGACTAATTTTTAGATGTTTATTTTTTACAAAGGATACAAAATTTCGGCCCAGCTGTTATATAGCTGACATATGAATTGATTCAATGTAACAACTAAAGTAATGAGTATAATTAAAGTAAAA